GCTTTGTCTCACACACAGTCCTCCAACAGGTGTTCCCAGCCACCCCAGACTTAGCTCCTTCAACAACTGCAGCAAAAGAGGGAGTGCTACTTCCCCTGTAGATCCCACAGAAATTCCAGGGCTGATCCTGATTAGGTCACGAGCCATCCCTGAACATATCACTGCGGCCAGGGAATGAAGCATATTGCGAGGTCTGGTCTGGTCACGTGCAAAAGGCCCAGAACAGGGGTGAGGAGGTGATTCCTCCATGGACTGAGACGTGGTGGGAGAGTAGTTCCTGAGAAACAAAAGGCAGGATGCTATTGCCAGTAGAGGGAAAGGGCTCCCATGCAGGGGGCAGGAAGGAGGGAGAACCTGACAGGGGAGCAGAAAACACTCCCAGGAGGCAGGAGTGAGCCGTGGGCTCTGGGATCCATCCTGGGAGTCTGGGTGGTTGTCCATAGGATGGGACACATTAGGAGCCAGCATGGTGGAGTCGGGGACAAGGAGGGGGCTCTGACCCAACAAGGACAGATATTCCCTCCAGCTCCTCGAAAGAAGGGGCTATAGGAAATTAAGCCTGAGGCCACCCCAGCAGAACCAGAGAAAAAAGATGATGCTTTTGGGGGCAAGACCCCTCCCCACCTCACAAAGAGCGACCTGGGATGACCAGAGTGCAATTTACATAGATGTGAGAGACGCAGTCTTCCACAGGTTTCTCAGCATGGCCCTTATCTTGCTCTGGCCTCTCTGTTCCTGAGTGATGAGAGATGACACTTCCTCAGATGGGGCGGATTCTTAAGGTTAATTACAAGTGGCCTTTCTCATGAATCATCCCTTGCACTGAATTATTAATCACCTGCAGGCATTTGCAGGCCTTGAAACACTTGGACTTCCTGCAATTCTCCTTGGAAATGCTTTTGCCAATGGAAATATGACTTCCTTTTGGCCACGGAAAAGAAAAACCATGTCTGCTGCTGTTACCAGATTTCCCAGCTCCCAGAGACCCAGTAAAGAGCAAGATCTGAAAACAGGAAATGGGGCCAGGACTGCAGCCACAACTGGAGGCCATTTTGTATGTGGAGTTGGCTCCTGGCCAGCCCAGTCTCAGAGCCCTAGTGGCACAGTGGATGGAGGGGAGACTGACCACAGTGCCCGTGGCTCTTGGACTAGTTCGTGGTCGTTTCCACAAGAAATGACCTCCAGGGGCCTTGCATGAGCCCCTCGGCTGGTCAGCGGGGAGGAAGGAATGAGCGGGGCCAGACGCTGGGTCTAGCTCCACCACTTACTGCGTGGCCATGGAACCTCTTTAATTCAGTTTCCTCATCTGAAGGGGTGGTCCTGACCCTGCAGGCCTGACACAAGGTCGGGCTGGATGGGATCGTGTACACTGAGCCTGAGTCATGATTCCCAAAACATAAGGAGCAGCAAGAAAGGTGAGTTCCCTCCTGCCACCTGCTCTCATCCTCCAGTGGAGGAAGAAAGACTCAAAACTCAGTGGGCTGGCTGGATGTGTTAGGAGCTTGCAGACAAAGCTAGCAATGTGAGTGCAAGACCCAGTAGCTGGTCTCCAGGGCAAGGCCGGGGAGCTCCTGTTGGACCCGAAGTGTGGACACAGGATGCGTGTGACGCATGGATGATTGGCGGCAGAAGTGAGGGGGCTGCACCAACCTTTCTTCCACCATTCAGCACAGCCTTGGCCCTGGAGGTGGATATTGGGGTGCTGAGCTGAATAAGACATGGCCCCCTGCCTTCAAGTAGGTCCTGGTCTGTCAGGGAGAATGAAGTGGGGTGACAGTCACAGGCACAGAGTCCTGTAGCCAACATGGCAGCTGCAGGGAGAGTGAGGACAAGGAAGGGGAGACAAAGGGCTTCGTGGAGGAGAAGAAGATGCTGGAGGTTCATCTTGAAAGATGAGCGGTGGGGAAGGACAGTGGCCACTGAGGATTTCAGGCAGGGAGAGAGCAGCATGGCAAGAGGGAGTCTGGTTGGCAGAGCTGCCAGAAGTATTTCCACCAGTCTGGGCCCAGAGCACTCACTGCAGAGAGATGAGGGGATAGACAGCATCCAGGTGGATAAGAATGGGGAGGGAAGCCTGGAAGACATAAGCTGTGGAGGGGGATAGGATTGAATCGAAATCACAGAGAGGAAGTCAACACAGTGCTCCAGGTGAGGGATGATGGCGACCTGGACAATGTTTTTGGTGGTGATGGAGATGGTCTGAGGAGGAAGAGCTGGCAGGACTTGGCCAGTGCTTGGATGTGGGTGGTGAAGGAAAGAGGTCAGAGAGGAAGATGAAGCCCTGGAAAGCAACAGCCACATGGCTGGGGGAGGATGGTCAGCTCTGGGCCTGGCACTTCCTGACTGGCCACAAGGCATTGCCTTCTCCAGGAGCACCCATTTCCCCACCCCACACCCAGAAGAACCCGAGTGCAGCTCGGGCCCAGCTGTGGAGGGAGCTGGGTGTGGATGGGTGCATGCCCCATCAGGGGTGGTCAGGCCAGGCAGGGCGTCTGGGAGGGGGTCATAACAGCTGATGGTTTACCCCAAGGGGGGCAATAGGGCCTTGCTACTTGCCTGGTCCCAGCCTTGGGGTGCACTGAGAGCTCCGGGCAGCAGGAGGAGGGAGAATGTAAACCAACCCTTCCAGAGGGCTGCATGGACCCTTTTGTCAGCACAATAACGGCTCCAAAGACATCCACATCCTAATTCCTGGAACCTGGGAATAGGTTACCCTATCTGGCAAAAGGGACTTTGCAGATGTGATTAAATTACGGATCTTGAGATGGGGAGATTATTCTGGGTGGGTCCCATGTAATCACAAAAGTCCTTATAAGAGGGAGGTAGAAAAAGTTGATGTGGAGATGATAGAGAGATTAGAAAATTCTGCTGCTGGCTTTGAAGATGAAGGAAGAAGTCACTTGCAGGCAGCTTCTAGAAGCTGGGAAAGGCAACAAAATGGATTTCCCTGCCACCCTCCAGAAGGAATGCAGCCCTGCAGACCCATTGTAGTCTTCTGCCCTCCAGAACTGTAAGAGAATAAATTTGTGTTTTTAACCACTGAATTTGTAATAATTTGTTACAGCAGCAACAGGAAACTAATGCAGACATTTTCCTGGGAGGAAAGATGGGGAGGTTTTGGGGGGACCCAGGCCCAACTTCCCGAGACACCACACCCATCGCCAGCCCAGCGGAAGGAGAGATCAGGGCCCCAGGTTCTCCAGATGCTCCAGCTAACATGCCTGGGTCCCTGGAGGGTGGGTTTGCAGGAGGGGAGAGCCCTGCCTCCGCCTGCCTGCTAGCAGGGTTCAAGGGTGGAGAAAAGAGAAAGGCCCCACTCTTCTGGGACATTTGCGGGATAAAGAGATGCAGGGTCCCACCTTCTCACCACTCGACACCTGTCCAGACCCCAGAAAGAGAGTGGCCATGCTTCCTCTGCACACAGGAAGCCAAAGGCTCTCAGACCTCGCCCCTGTGAGTTGAGGGGGACCCCAATTTACCACCCATCCTGCCTCAGGTCTACCAGGGCTCAGACATGGTGGAGCCTCATACACACTGAAGGCCTGGCCGGCTCTCCACCTGTCTACTCTGTATCTTCCATCATATGATAGGCCCAGGTGCCACGGGGAGCTGAGCCCATGCCCAGTCTTTGGTGTTGACCTTAAAAATAAAACAGCTAGGGGGGCAGCCCAGTGGCGTTGAGGTTAAGTGCAGGCGATCCGCTTTGCAGCCCGGGGTTCACAGGTTCGGATCCCAGGCACACACCAACGCACCGCTTGTCAAAGCTATGCTATGGCAGCGTCCCATATAAAGTAGAGGAGGATGGGAATGGATGTCAGCCCAGGGCCAACCTTCCTCAGCAAAAAGCTCAGGGCTAATCTTCCTCACAAATAAAATAAAATAAAACAGCCAATTATTTTACCAGCAAAAGGAGTTTATCTGGGAATCGCCAAAGACTTGCAATTTGAGATGTGCATGCTGTGGCAGACTACAGGCAAAAATCCAGCGAGAAGGGAGAGGAATGTTGTTTTATAAAGAATAAGGAGGAAGCTGGGAGGGATTGTTTTGAACAAAAGTCCCTTAGAGGAAAGCAAGAGATCAGGGTAAGGACAGGTTTTCATTGGCTTAGTTTGCTGGGGTAGCTGATTTCCTCCAGGAGACCAAGGTACATCTTTCCTGTTGAGGCCTGTAACTGATTCTCTCCTGCTGAGGATTCTTTTTGTTGGGGTCTGTAATTGACCACCCTTCCTGTAATTGACCTCAAGTGGTACTGCTGGGAGCTCTCCCTTCAGGCCTCCTGACTCCATTTCAAGCGAGCTGTCCCTTAAAATTTTCATATAGGACACAATCTTCAAGGCTGTGAAACAACATCAACCCTCCCTGCCCCCACACACATATTCCCTTATGGACGCCTCTAGGTCTCAGACACTCCCACCAGAGTGCCCCGCAGGGACGCTGTGCGGGCGCCGCGAGGGTGCGCATCCCCCGACCCGGCGCACGACTCCTCTGCTGGGAGCGGGCAGAGGACAGGGAGGGCTCTTACACGAGCCTCTCGGTCAAGTCTGCGTTCGCCAACCTCGACTGGCGCGGCCCTTTAGGTCTGATAACAATCATTATAATAATAGGGGCTGCGGGCGCGGAGGGGACAATAATCACCACAGTAGTGGCTGGCATGCCCTGCGCCACCCCCTCCTTGCGCCAGTCACCGTTCCAAGTGTCTCTTACATATATTAATCCTAGAGGAAGTGCTATTATTAACCCAGTTGAGGAAAGTGAGCCCAGAGTGCTGAAATAAACCGTCCCAAATCGCACAGCAGGCGAGTGGGGAGCCGGAGTTGGAATCCAGGTGGTGCGGCTGCAGCGTCCGCTCTCTCCAGCGCCTCGTTCTTTTTCTACTGAGACTCGGCCGGACGAGTAAACTTCAGCGCCGCATCGCGCGCCCGGGGGTCGGGCAGGCGGCGCTGGGGCCCAGGACAGGGCTCGGAGACTCCGCCCTGAGATTCGGGAAGGCTCCCGGGGCCATGGGTCGGCGGTGGGCCTGGAGGACGCAGCCTCAGCCTGCGGCGCATCTGCGCAAGGTGGAGGCGCGTTCCCAGACGGGCAAGGCCACCAAGTGTCAAGGGCCAGGTGCGGAGCCCTCTTCAGCCGCGGGCGGAAAAGGCTTTAGCTCTGCCCTCCGGGAGGGGGCGGTCCTCGCACCCCACCCCGCCTGCAGCTGCAGGGAGCCCCGGGCGCCCCGGCCCGCCCGGAGCCCTGCAGTTTCCGGGAGCGCACGGTCGGCTCCTCGCCCCTCCCGAGCCACCGCCAGGGTCCCTGGGTCCCTGCCCCATCGTCCGCCGCCGCCAGGCCACAGAGCCACGAGGGACCGCCCGCCCCGCGCCGCGCTTTAAAAGCCTGCCCCGCGGCACTGGCGACAGGCGTGGAGACCGGCGAGACTGAGCCCGGGCCGGCGCCCCAACGGCTGGCCGGAGCAGCCTCATGGCGGGTAAGTGCCCTCGCCTCCCCTCTCGCGCCCCCAGCGAGGCGCCCCGGCCCCTCGGCCACCGGTTGCAGCACTTTCCTCGCCCCGTCGTCCCCGCTGGGACGTCGCCCCTGCCCGCCCGGCCTCGGGCTCCTGGCGCGCTGCGGGGATGCAGTGAGGCCCGCTCCTCGCAGACAGTTGCGGGTCAGGAGATGTGGGGGGCTCGCCTTCTCCCCACCCCACGGGATCCAGACCCCAGAGCCCGGGAAGCCCCGCGCCCGCACGGACCCGGAGGAGGCACCTTCCCTGCCTGGCCTGGGCACCGGCGCGTGGGACGGAGCGTCGGAACGCTCTTGGCGGGCGCCGAGTGGAGCCTCCCAGGTCCCCGCAAATGTGGAGGTGCAGGTGCCGGCAGCAGACGGTCCGTGTGTCTCCGTTTCCCACCCCCGCTGCTCACCTTCTCGTCCACACCCCACCTCCACTGCCTCCCACCGACACCCCTCAGTGGGCTCGCCTTGATAAACGGTTGAGGGAGGGAGCGGGTTTTAGAGACAGGTACAGCATTCAAGCATGAGTCCAGCCTCTCACAGGTTCCAGGACCCCAAAGCATAGGGCTCTAAGAGCGACTCAGGGCATCAGCCCTTCCTGGGCTTTCCTTAAGGGCGTGGTGCCCACACCCAGCTCACCCTCAGGCCTGAACAGGACTCCAGGGAAGATGGAGGTTATGGTAAAGAGATGGTTTGATTTCTACTCAGAAGCACAAGGAAATGGTTCATTTCAGCCAGAATCCCCGGTGAAGGGCCAGCTGCTTTCCAAGGGAAACCAGAAGGCTCTGTCCAGGGCACTAGGACTGGACTCCAAGGGAAACAGCTTTTCCGCTGAGACCCAGCAAGGCCGGCAAGCAGCACCCCACCCCAACAGACACACAAGCTGCTGCTGTGTCGCTGCTGGGGTCCAACCCAGGGGGTGGGGCTGCTGCCCAAATTCTGCCCCCGGCAGGCCAGTGGGGTGCAGGGGAGGGGCTTTCCCCAGGTCTCACAGCCCCCTGGTTCCTGCCCCCAGAGGAGGTGGCCTTGGTAGTTGGAGGCATTGTTGGGGGGCTGCTGCTGCTGCTGATCGGGGTGAGCTGCTGGCTCTGGAAGAGGCTTTGTACCGTGTTCACCTACGAAGAACTGCCGGGGACCACGGCTGTCTCCAGCGTACAGAGGGACAAGCTCTGCCTGCCGCGTGCCAAGACCCAGACAAGCAGGTGAGACAGGATGTGGGGCCAAGCGAGCTCCTGGCTGTGCTTAGAGCCCTCCCTAAGGACTTTCCCTTGGAGCGGGTGGGGGAGGAAAGATCTGTTTATGGAGCGCCTCCTCTGTGCTGCCACCATACTGGGAGCATCACAAAGGAACGCCTCGAATCCTCACAATGGCTAGGAGGCAGGCATTATGAGCCCATTTTCCAGCTGAGGAAACTGAGGCTCAGACATAACTAACGGGTCCAGATAGCACAGCTAGTAAGTGGCAGAACGATGTTCAAACCCAGGCAGGCTGACTCCAGAGGCTGTGCTCCTTCTCCAACTCGCCACTGCTGTGGGCAGACAGAGGTGTTGGCTCTGGCTGGGTCTGGGTCTGTGTGTGTGTGTGTGTGTGTGTGTCCTGGTGTGGACCCAGAAAATGGTGCTGTTGCCTCCTTCTGGTTCCCCGGGCTTTTCCTCCTCCAGCCCCCGGCACTTAATCCCTCTGGGCTGAGGGCTCTGAGGCCACACCATTCACTTGCCACATACATGTTGTCTCCCTGCCTCTGGACAGGCCACCGGGTACACCATTTGTGGTGCCCCCTTCCCTCCAAGGCCGAGATTGGGTTCCCCTGCACAGCAGAGAGGGGGCCCAGGCCCCACAGCACCCCTGCCCAGCCCCAGAGCTCCTGCCCCACACCACCAGCAACAACCTTGGTGAGTGCACCCACAGGGCCTGGCCAGGGGTCGGGGTCTGCTCAGGCCAGGGCGGACCCATCTGCTTTCATGGGCCTGGCTCCCAAACAGAGCCTGGATGGGCCCAGGGATGCCAGAGTTGCCCGGTGACCACTCTTTCCAGGTACTTGGGTTTACCAAGTGCCAGCTGCACCCCAGCCGGGGCCAGATACGGCCTCGTGTGCCACTTTGGAGTTAGACCTCGCCTCTGTAGGGAATTATCACCCCAATGTGCACTTTCATAAAGTGGGCTCCAAAGGTTAACAGTGCTTGCCCAGGCTCACAGACGCAGTAAACAACAGATCTGGGCTCGGAACCCTGGTGTTCCGGGTGCAGAACCTGTGCTGGGTCCTGCTCCAGGATGAGGCATTAGCCGGCCAGAGGGCAGAATGCGGGAGCTGGGTGCACAGCGTTCTGCCCACCTCTTTGCTCTGAAGGCCTCCCAAGAGACCTTTTCAGGAACTACCCAGGAATCAGCTTGGCCCTCCTAATTTGAAAGGGAAGAAACGAGGTAACACTTTATCACTGAAACATCCTCTGGACCCCATGGAAAGGGGCCAAGCCAGGTGTTGGGCACTGTGCCCCCCAAGCAGGCCCTGACCTCTGGGGATCGGGGCCAATCCCAGGGGCAGGGGTAGAATGAATGCTGTGGACTCTGTGGGGGGCCCCAGGGAGCATCCTGCTGAGAAGGCGTCCTGGAGCAGCTGCCCCGCAGAGAGGGGCTGTGTTCAGTCTGAAGAAGAGAGCAGGGCAGATGTGGTCAGGAGGGGCCGTGAACTGCCTAGTCGAGGCTCAGCCAAGAAGGGGCGGGCCTGGGTGGGCTGGGATGGGGGCGGTGAAGCCCACTGCTTGTTGTCCCCTCTGCCCGGCCTTCCTCTGGCTCGCCAGACCTCCCAGCCGCTGTGTTGTAGGAGACGCGAGCGTGGTGGGGACCATCAACCCAGAGCTGTACAAGTTCCCCGAGGACGAGAGTGAGACCGACTTCCCTGAGGGCTGCCTGGGGCGGCTGTGGTTCTCCGTGGAATACCAGCAGGAGGCCGAGCGGCTGCTGGTGGGCCTGATCAAGGCGCAGGGGCTGCGAGCCACCTCAGAGACCTGCAGCCCCCTGGTGAAGCTCCACCTGCTGCCCGACGAGCGGCGCTTCCTCCAGTCCAAGACCAAACGCAAAACTGCCAACCCGCAGTTCGACGAGCACTTCATCTTCCAGGTAGGCCTCCGGAGCAGGCAGCGTCCTGCGTGCTCTGGCGTCCTGGAAAGGAGCAGACATTGTGCAGGAGAGCCCCAGTCTCCTGTGCTAGCCAGGGCCCTGCAGCCCCCAGGCCCCCCATGCCACAGGCTCTGCTTTACCCTGCCTGCTGGGTCAAGGCCTGCAAGAGCCCCGACCGCTGACGGGGGTGGTGGGGGGCGGGAGAGAGACTTGGGTCTCCTCTTGTCCAGGTTGCCTGGAGGCGAGAAAGAGAAAACACATTCTTGGAGCACCTACTGAACGCAGGCCCTGGCCCATGGGGCTCAGGGGAAGCACCCCAAAACCCTGGAGCACTATGGGGTTTCTGGCGAGGTTGTTCAAGCAAGGCAGAGGGTGAGAGCATCCTGTCAGTGGCCAGCGCAGCACCCGAGAGCCATCCTGTGGAGGTGGTGCCTTTGCCGCACTGTGGGCGGGCTGGCCCAGGGTCTGGAGGGGGAGAGGCTCCAGGTTGCCTGGAGGCGAGAAAGAGAAAACACATTCTTGGAGCACCTACTGAACGCAGGCCCTGGCCCATGGGGCTCAGGGGAAGCACCCCAAAACCCTGAGCCAGGGTCACAGTGGCCTGGGAGCCTCAGCAGGTGACTGGGGGCCCTTGTGGGAAGCCAGCAATCAAGAGCTGCCGAGAGGCCTTGGACAAACATTTTTAAGAGCTGGGCAGCAGGCTGGTGGGTAAGGTAAGAAGAGGCTAGTCAGCATCCGGGAAGACTATGAGTGCTGAGGCCAGAGCCCAGTTCTTGCCTTCATCCAGGGCTGAGGGCTGAGAGCTGAGAAGAGGGGTGGGTCCCAGCCCCCTGCCATCCTACTGGGGCCGAGACTTTGATGCTCTTCTCGTGACATCAAGATCCAAGGTGTGCAGGCTGGCTGACCAGCACGGCCGCACATCGTGCTCCCATACTTATTTTTCTTGACTTGTCACTTCCCCGCCCTGTCCTCACCCCAACTTGACCCTAGCCTTTCAGTGTTCTAAGGGGAAAGAGGAAAGAGAAGGAGAAGAGAAGAAAATCAATATTAGTTGACCATCTGCCATAGATCAGGTACTCTCTGGGTTTCAGAGAGTAAGAGCCATTATCCCATTTTACAGGAGGAGACTGGGCCTCGGGGAGAGGAGGGTTGGGGGGCCCGACTCAGGTAGCAGAGGCAGGCAGGTTGCCGGGGCTGCACCTCGGGGCCTCACACCTTTATGTACAGGCAAATCATTTGGAGGTCCTGTTAAATGGTAGATTCTGCTTCATGGGTCTGGCTGGGGTGGGGCCCAAGATCCTGCATTTCTAACAAGGTCCAGGGAGGGCGGCATGGCTGCTGCTGGTTCTCGGACCACATTCTGCTTGGCAAGGCTCTGGCACACACTCCCACCTCCCAGGGGTGTTGACCCCGCTGCTGAGAAGGGTACCCTGAGGATGCCTGGGTTTGCAGTGTTCAGGTCGCTCCGGAGACACCCCTCACCGAAAGCTCCTGTGTGCAGAACCACTTGCCACACCATCCCATCCCCTGTCCCCACACCTGACCCAAGCCCAGGGCCCTTGTCTCCCCCAGGTGTCCGGCAGGAGCGTCAGCCAGAGGGTGCTGAGGTTCTCAGTGTACCACGTGGACAGGCAGAGGAAGCACCAGCTCCTGGGCCAAGTGCTCTTCCCCCTGAAGAATGAAACCCTGCTGGGCAACTGCCGGCGCATCTTCTGGAGAGACCTGGAGGCCGAGAGCCTGGAGGTAAAGGTCAGGGTCACCAGACATGTGCCACTACCTGTCAGACTACTGTGGGCAGCCAGCAGGTGTGACCCAGCACCTGTTGGCCGGCGTCAGCCCTCAGCATACGGCTCACCACTCCTGTAAGCGTGACTCAGGCTGGTGGGGCCAGGGGCAGCTGCGTGGGTCAAGGCGGGTGTGTGGAGCCTGAGTTTCTTTTGTCCTCAAGGTAGGATTACCTGGAGCATCCTGAAAAGCCAATGTTTGGATTCCCATCTAGATCAGACAGCTATGAAAGGCGACACCCCAAATGAGCCAGCCAAGGAAAATATTTACCCTCTGTTCCCTCGACCCCCAGGAAGGACCCGGGCAGCTCAGAATAGTCTTTGGAATCCCCCAGACCTGGATTTGAATCCTCAGCTCTGGTCCTCACTACTCTCTGGTCCTCAGCAGGCCCCTCCAGCTCTCCAGAACTCAGTTTCCCTGTCTGTAAAATGGCGGGTGGGCTTAAGGGAGGAAACATGGATGTCACACAGTACCCTGTGCCCAACTGCTGGAGGAAGGAGGAAGACACTGAGGGGGTTCTGTGGCTCCTCCAGCACCTGCCAGAGTGACAGGGTGCTTTCCTTTCGGCCTCTCCAGCCTCCCTCGGAGTTTGGCGACCTCCAGTTCTGCCTCACCTACAACGACTGCCTGAACCGCCTCACTGTGGTCGTGCTGCGAGCCAGGGGCCTCCGGCTGCAGGAGGATGCGAGTTTTGTCAGTAAGTTTTCCTCCTCGGGGCAGGTCCCACCTTGTGAGCTGCCCTGGGCCTGGAGTGTGAGCTTCGCCCCAGCCACCCAGTTTCTGCTTGCATAAGGCCCACCATGGAGCACTCACTACCTCCTGAGCCATGCCCTCTGTGGATGGTTGTGGTGTGGGAAGGGCGTCCTTATGTTGAACCCAAGGCTGCATCCCCTTGGCCTCCACCAAGACCCCTAAGACTAGTCTGCCCCTCCCTGTGCCCAAGGCAGCATCTTGGCTCCTTGACCTGTGCAGCCACCTCCACCCCTGCCCTTCTGTGAAGGGTTCCAGTTCCTCCAGGGCAAGGCCTTGTACCTCCCTGCCCCCAGGGCGGGCTGCCCCACAAGTGAGGCATGACACTGGGCTGGAAGAAGAGGCATCCCAGGCCAGCGGGTGGCTGTGGTGATCTGCTTCCTCCAGCATCCCAGATCCCGGGAGCTGGAGGAGTGGAGGCCCTGCTCTGCTCATCCCACACGTCCCACCCCTATGTGGGTCCCCAGCATGGTGGCAGTTGTCTGCCACCTGTGTGTCTCTGCATCTCAGTCACTGTAGGCAAGCTCGCATTCAGCCTTCCACTTCAGATCCAAAACTCATCTGAGCCTCACTCAAAAAAACTTAGCCCTCCCAAGGAGAAGGTGTTTAAGGGGCCCCCAGGGGGCCTGAGCACCCGGCAGGCCAGGCCCCTGTGCACCAACCAGGAGGGATGGGCATGTGGTGCTAGGCTCCAGTAAACAAAGGCCAGCCGAGCTGTGGGTGCATTCAGGAGGCAGAGAGGAAGGAAGAGGAAGGGAGCCAAGCGTTTCCTCTGCTGTGAGGCGGTACCCTAATCAACCCCGTTTCCTCTGGTAATGCCCCTCTGGCTGCAGCGGCTGTGAGTAATGGGGTCCTGGCGCCCGGGGTGGGCATGTGCCGTCCCAGCCAGACCTCCCACAGGCCAGAGGCTGGACCCCTGCCCGCCATTCCCAGCCCACGGTCTGCAATGCCCCTCAGGTGTATTTGTCAAAGTGTCTCTGATGAATCACAACAAGTTTGTCAAGTGTAAGAAGACTTCGGCTGTGCTGGGCTCCGCCAACCCTGTGTATAGTGAGACCTTCAGCTTCAAGGCCGACCCCACCGAGCTGGACACAGCCAGCCTCAGCCTGACAGTGCTGCAGAGCGCCCAAGGGGACAGTAAGGCTGCTGCCCCACCCCCAGGCTGTTGGGGCAGCGGGCAGAGGAGGGGCTGCTGAGTGTTCAGGCCACATGAACCCTCGGAGGGAGCTGCGTGGTTTCTGTTCTCTACCTAAGGAAACTAGTGCTCAGAGAGGCTGAGATACTTGCCCAGGGACACAGAGCTTGCTAGTGAAAGAACTGGGATTCACACCTGGCTTTATTCCAGTGTGACTGTCTGTGGCACCCTGGAAAGAGGTTAAAGGCTGGCCTCCGCTACCCCCTCCTGGGGCAAATCACCAGAGAGGATGGGAGGCAGCATAGCTCCAAGTGACCTGAGGCTGTGGGTAGTTGTGTCCCCTGCGTTGCCTCATGCCCTCTAGACAGGCCTTTAGGGTCCTCTGTGAAGCTCAGGGTGGACGACAAGGTGGACTTATCCTAGGCAGCTCTCCACTCTGCCCCAGGCCCCGGTGCCCACTGTCACCGTCTGGGGAAGCAGGGCCGTCAGGCCCGCTGGTGTCGTGGACCAGAGTTCAAGATCCTTCTCCACTGTGGCAGTTGGTGGGTGATGATTATTGTTGAATGTTCCGCTGAACGGAGAAGTGGGCTGCTGGAAGAGGGCTTCTTTCTAGAGAGGCTCTTTCCTCCCTCGGCTCTTCCGTACCAAGCAGGCTGACAACAGCTGCCAGGAGGTTGAAGGGCAGAGTGGACACACCCGAAAGGCAGGCTCCCCACCTGGGCTCCCTTCCCCCACCATCTCCAGCTCCAGAGCAAAGTCAGGACCTCTCTGGGGGCTGTCAGCTGGTGCTTAAAGAGGGACGGGGCTGGCTACTTCCTTCAAGGGAAGGAGTGAGTGAGAGAGAGAGAGAGAAGGCACTGGGGTGTGGCTGAGGTGATGTGGCTTCTGTGCTCCAGAGACTAACAATGTTCCCTCCCCCACCCCCCGCAGAGAGCCACGAGCTGGGCCGGGTGGTGGTGGGCCCCTACATGTACACCCGCGGCAAGGAGCTGGAGCACTGGGACGAGATGCTCGGCAAGCCCAAGGAGCTGGTGAAGCGCTGGCACGCACTCTGCCGCACCACCGAGCCCTGACGTGGGGCCAGACCTGCCTCGGGAGCCCGCTCTCCCCACAGTCACGCGTGGCAGCCGCAGGCCTGGACCTTCATCCAGCACCTCACTGGGCTGCGGGGCCAGCCCAAGCCAGGGAAACATGAGTGCTGGTGTGCAGGAAAGAAGAGAGGACAAGAGAGCCCTGGCCCGGGTCAGCAGTGTGGCCGGTTACGTGTCACCAGCCTGAGACACCCTCCCGACTGACTCTGCCCTTCTATACCCATGGGGCTGCCTGGGCTTAGAATCCCGGCTCCCAGTCACCACAGTCCCGATTTGGACCGGAATCTCAGGCGTTGGGAAGAAATACTCTATTTAGTAATGCACAGCTGTGTGTGTTGGACCAAGTGCAGGGTAGACTTGGGTTCCACCATCTTGGGAAGCTGGTGATGTGTTGATGCTCGACTCGCCCTGCTTTTCAGCTGTGGTTTCTCTGCCTTCTGCCTAGCAGAGAAAACAGACTGCTCCGGGGGAAATAATGGTGGAGGGGTGCCCAAAGCGCTTATTTTGGTTGGTCCACAATAAATAGCACAGTCTGAGAGTGGGGTTCTGCGTGTAGGTGTGGAGCAGCCCCGGGAGGCCTGGGCAGCGCAGCGTGCCCACAGCTCAGGAGCGAAAGCTCCCGGGGATCCAGACTCTCTGGCTTCAGGACCTGCGGGGGAATGCTGTGCGCAGCCCGCCCACGTACCAAGTAGGGGAGAGGTTCTCAGCATCTGCTCTCTGTGCCAAGTGAAGAGTGCCTCACCTGTGTGTTAGATCCCTCCCCGGGGCTATGTCAAATCCCGCTCCACATCACGTCGAGTCTTGCCCACAGCCCCTCCTCCGCAGAGTCCACAGCCTCGCACCCTGGTCTCGCAGGTGCGCTGCCGCTGGTTTCTGTGGTCCCCTCCCTGGGTGACAGCATGCCTCTCCCGGGGCTCTCACTTTGGGCAGGAAATGGTGAGAGCACGTGGCCAAAGCGTAACCACAGGGCTGAGAGCTTTTCCTGACACTAACAACTCCATTACGATGATTGTGTTGTGGTGGTGAAGGTGTAGAGTTCATCAGGAAGGAAGTTCCCACCAATCGCCGTCATCAGCTCCCCGTGAAGTTGTGCTCGAGGGAAGGAGTGCTTGTCACTGTTTCTTAACAGAGTTTGTGTTTTCACCCTAATGCTGTTGAACTTGCAGTCAACACATTGTTACTATATAACTAGAACAAAGCTTTAAACCAGTATCATCTCTTATTTTATGCAGTGAAGCAACTTCAGCAAAACAAAGCAGCGAACATTACACTGGGTTTGTGTGCCTCTTTGTCTTCATATTGTGCGTGGATCTCTGTTGATGCAAGCTTTGCCCAGCAGTGGTCCCTGCAGACAGAATACTTGTGTTTGCTTTTTCTCGCTTTTTCCACATGCACATTTTCAGCATAGTCCTTGCTCCGGTGATTTCAAATAGTGTTACAGCACACACAGAGTGGGAGTTCTCTATGTGGGTATAGCAGGCCACTAAAATGGAACTGTTTCCATTTCACCAGGGTCCTGAGACAATAGGTGACAACCTCCACATTTCAAAGTGAGTTTCATGCCTATCAGTGGCCTTTCCAGGGCCACTTGGAAATATTGGTAAGTACCCACTTTGCAGGACGGAGTGGACTGGTGCGTCGGACTCACAGCTGAAAAATCTCAATGGCAAGAGCCTGGCAGTTTCTCTGCTCTGACAGAGAGGAAGACGGGGCTGCTATATTGGGCTGGCCCCTGTATCAGACACCGTCAGGGCAAAAAATACATGAGTGCTTCACATGGACCAGAGAGAGCTGGCCTGGGTCGTCTCAATCCTGTCCACCAGGTGACCCCAGCAGAAAGAAGCCCTTTGCATTTCCATAAAACATTTTAGAATCAGCTTGTCAATTTCTACACCAAAAAAGTATTAGAATTTGATTGGATTTTCATTAAGTGTATAGACTGGTTTGGGGGCCATTTGATATCTTTACAATATTGAATGTTCAATTCGTTAACATAGCGTATCCCTCCATTTCTTTAGGTCTTTTGCAAATTTTCTTAAAACTGTTTTGTGGTTTGTCTCCTTGCATACTTTTCATTAGATTTATTCTTAGGTGTTCATTTATTTGTTTCTAGTCTATAGAGATTCTGTTGATTTTGTATGTTGACTTTATATCTTGTGAGTGGCCTTGCTAAAGTCGCTTAAATTGTAATTGTTTGTCTATAGATTCTTTGTATTTTCTTAGTATATAGTCATGACCTCTGCAAATGACAGTTTTATTTCTTCCTTTCCAATCTTTTCGTCGTCTTTGTCTCTTGCCAAATTGCAGTGGCTGGGCAACTGGACAAGAAAAGAAATAAAAGGCATCCAGATTGTAAAGGAAGAAGTAAAACTATATTTGCAGATTGCATAGGCTGGTATATAGAAAATCCTAAGGAAGCCACAAAAAAACTATTAGAGCTAAAATAAACAAGTTCAGCAAGGTTGCAAGATACAAGATGATAGACAAATTGCATTGGCGAGGGCCTCCAGCAGAATGCTGACTACAAGTAGTGACAGTGGGTATCTGTGTCTTTTTCTCACTCTCGGGGGGTGGAGGGAGAAGCTTTCAATATCCACTATTGAGTATGATGTTTGCTATAAGACTTTTAATATACTCATGATTATGTATTCTCAATTTAAGTTTTTTTAATCACAGTGTTAAATTTTATCAAATATTTTTCTGCATCTTTTGAGATAGTCGTATTTTTCTCCTTTATTCTTTTAATGTGATGAATTACATGGATTGATTTTTGAATGTCAAAGCAAACTTACATTCTTGTAACAGCAACCAGTGGGGATATGTGTGTGTGTGCACACATGTATGATAGTACTTGGACTTGTTTATTTAAAATTTGGATTTATTTGCTGTGACATTTTTTTATTGCTTTTTAATATCCTTACATGTCAATATCATTCTTTTATTAGGACTTTACTTTTTTTATAGCAGTTTTAGGTTCACCTCAAAATTTTAGGGAAGGTACAGAGATTTTCCATATACCCCTGTCCCCACAAATGCATAGCCTCCTCCATTATCAACATCCCCCACCAGAGTGGTCCATTTGTTACAAGTGATGAACCTGCATTGACACATCATGATCACCAAAGTCCATAGTTTACATTAGAGTTCACTCTTGGTGTTGTACATTCTATGGGTATGGACAAATGTATAATCACATTTTTAAGTATTTTTGCAGTTATGTTCATAAGAGAGTTTTCTGTAATTTAAAAAAATAAAATATATATATATTTGGTGAGAAGGATTGTCCCTGAGCTCACATCTGTGCCAACCTTCCTCTATTTTGTATGTGGCACCCCGCCACAGCATGGCTTGATGATCGGTGTGCAGGTCCACACCCAGGATCCAAACCTGCAAACCCTGGGCCGCCAAAGCGGAGTGTGGGAACTTAACCACTATGCCAACGGGCCAGCCCATTATTAAAAAATCTATAATTTTTTTAGTGTAATGTCCTTGCACTTGAAGAGAATGTGTATTCTGCAGTTGTTGTGAGCAGGTGTTGTATGTATTTCTTAGGTCAAGTTTGTTCATCAGATTTGTCAAATCCTCTCTCTTTACTGATTTTGGGGGAGTCTGTTTTTCTATTCATTATTGAGAGAGATTAAAGTCTCCCACTATGATTGTGGATTTGTTTATTTCTCCTTTTAGTTTTCTCAATTTTTGTTTTATGTATGTTTTATATGTTATTATGCTCATATCCATTTAAACTTGATATTTTTCTTGATAAAGGGTTTCACAATGAACCCTTGATCATTGTGAAATGGCTCTCTCTACCACTAATAATGGCATATTTTTTCCATTTTTCCCTATATTTTTTCAGCTTTCTTATGTTCTCATATTTATGTTCCATCTCCTGAATATAGTTTTTTTAATCATCTGTGAACCTCTGTGTTTTGTATATTTAATTCATTTACATTTGATGTATTCACTGATAGAATTGTGTTCACATGTACCATCTTACTATTTGTTTTCATTTGTCCTATCTGTTTTGTTTCTTTTTCTCTCCTTTGTTGCCTTCTTTTGGCAACTCATTTTGGATTAACTCATTTTCTTTTCATTCCCTCTCTCCCCTCCCATTCGTTGCTACTCACACAGTCTGTTATTATTCCTTTAATGGTTCCCCCTAGAGATTACAATTTATATCCATTATAAATTATAGTCTAATACAAATTATAGTTTTTATCACTTCCCAGACACTGCTCTCATCTTAGAACACTCAATGTCTATTTACCTCCATTCTATTTCTTTTTTGTAGTTTTGATGCTATTCATTTTAATTCCACATATATTTTACACCTAACAAGGCATTGCTATTATCTCTATGTTCATTCAATATTCATTTATATTCACCCGTACATTTGATCTTTCTTTTGCTTTTTATTCTTTCCTGCTTTCCTGTGATTCTACCTGAGATAATTTTTCTTCTACCGGAAGCACTCTTTTTAGTATTTCTTTTAGTGCAGATCTGCTGGCAACAAATTTTCTCAGTTTTTAAATAGAAATATCTATTTCAAATTCATTTTTAAAGGATATTTTGTGGAAGTAGAATTCTAGGTTGATATCTTTTCTTTCAGCAGTTTAAAAATGGTATTCATTGTCTTCTCTCTTCCATCATTTCTGTTGACAAGTGTTATCAGTGCTATTGTTTCTCCTTTGAAAGTAATGTGCCCCCCACCCCTTGGCTGCTTTTAATATTTTCTTTTTGTCTTTGGTTTTCAGTAGCTTGAGTATGCCGTTTTCTTTTTATTTATCCTGCTTGGGGGTCATAAAGCTTCATCAGTTTTGGAAAATTCTCAGCCTGTATTTCTTCAAATATGATTTCTACCCTTTTCTTCCTTTCCTCTTCTTCTGTGACTCCAATTACACATATGTTAGATCTTTCCACCATTTCCCACAGGACTCTTACGCTCTTTGCTGTGTTTTCCATACTCTTTATGTCCTTCTTCA